CTGACTTGTCAGGGGCTAATGCAGCTGGTGGCTTGAGGTTGAAGTCACTGCTCATTTGCCACTTAGAAAATCCCATGTCCCTCAAGAGTTAAGCCAAACCTACTCTGCCCGCACTCTAGAAAGGGTACAACAAAGACTGGATGACAGCACATCTGTTTACAACATGGTTTTGCTGAATATTTTGAGCCCAAAATATTGAGGGGAAAAAAAAGATTCACTTCAAGATTCATTCATTGCTCATGGACAATGTACCTGGTCACCCAAGAGCTCTGACAGAGATGGACAACAAGCTGAATGTTGTTTTCATGCTTACTAATATATAATCCATTCAGCAGCCCATGGATCAAGGAGTAATTTTGACTTTCAAGTCTTAGTGTTTAAGATTATCTAATGCTGTTTAATATACTTATTTAATATTTACAATTATTTAATAATATCCAAATTATTTGGGTCCGGGCAAACTAAGTTGAAAACTGTCTGGAAAGGATTCACTATTCTTTTTTTTTTAACTTAACAATGAGTTTTACTATTCTATTTTTTAAACATTTTTTATGTTTATTTAGTTTTGAGACAGAGAGAAACAGAGCATGAGTGGGGGACGGGCAGAAAGAGAGGGAGACACAAAATCTGAAGCAGGCTCCAGGCTCTGAGCTGTCAGGACAGAGCTTGACACAGGGCTCGAACCCATGAACCATGGGATCATGACCTGAGCCAAAGTCAGATGCTTAACCAGCTGGCTACCCAGGCACCCCAAGGATTCACTAGATGCATCACAAGGATGTTCTAGATGTCAGTAAGAACATTCATGATTCATGGGAAGAGATCAAAATACCAACATTTACAGAAAGTTGATTCCCACCCTCATGGATGACTGTGTGAGGGGTTCAAGACTTCAGCAGAGGAATCAGCAGCAGATGGAACTGAAATAGCAAGAGAATTAGAAGTGGAGCCTGAAGGTGTGACTGGGTGACTGCCATCTCATGATCAAACTTGAACAGATGAGGAATTGCTTCTTGGAAGAGCAAAGAACACGGTTTCTTGAGCTGGAATCTACTCCCAGTGAAGATGCTGTGAAGATCGTTGAAAAGACCACAAAGGGTTTAGAATATTACATACATATTACCTGGTGGATAAAGCAATGGCAGGTTTGAGAGGGCTGACTTCCATTTGGAAAGAAGTTCTACTGTGGGTAAAATGCTATCAAACAACATCGCTTGTTACAGAGAGCTTGTTCATGAAGGAAGAGTCCATCAATGAGGCAAACTTCACCAATGTCTTATTTTAAGAAACTGTCATCAAAAAAGAAAAAGAAAAAAAAAAAGAAGGAAATTGCCACAGCCACCCCAACCTTCAGCACCCACCATCCTGCTCAGTCACCAGCCACCAACGGGAGATAAGACCCTCCACCAGCAAAAGATTATGACTCATTGAAACCTCAGACAATGTGTAGCACTTTCCAGCAATGAAGTATCTTTTAACTAAGGTACGTACATTGGGTTCCTTTTTTAGATATAATGCCATTTGCACACTTAGGGGACTACAATACAGTGTAAACATAGCTTTTATATGTACTAGGAAACCAATAAATTCATCTGACTTGCTTCGTTGTGGTGGTTTTGTTTCGTTGTGGTGGTTTTGAACCAAACCTGCAATGTCTCCAAGGTGTGCCTGTATAAAGAAAAATACACAGACTCCAAGGAGGCTTCACAAACTGAGCACATCCGGGTACCCAGCCTCTCTTTCCAGAGGCAAACTTACCGGCACTCAGAAATGTCCCCGGCTAAGTGTCCATCAACTGACGAATGGATCAAGAAGATGTGGTTTGGGGCACCTGGGTGGCTTAGTCGGTTAAGCGTCCGACTTTCGCTTGGGTCATGATCTCACGGTTCGTGGGTTCGAGCCCCGCGTCGGGCTCTGTGCTGACTGCCAGCTCAGAGCCTGGAGCCTATTTCAGAGTCTGTATCTCCCTCTCTCTCTGACCCTCCCCTGCTCACGCTGTCTCTCTCTCTCTCTCTCCTAGAAAAAAAAAAAAAAAAAAAAAAAAAAAAAAAAAAAAAAAAAAAAAAAAAAAAAAAAGAAGATGTGGTTTATCTATACAATGGAATACTACATGGCAATGAGAAACAATGAAATCTGGCCATGTGTAGCAATGTGGATGGAACTTGAGGGTGTTATGCTGAGTGAAATAAGTCAGGCAGAGAAGGATAGTTACCATATGTTTGCACGTATAGGAGGATTAGGAAGAACTTAACGGAGGACCGTGGGGGAGAAGAAGGGGAAAAATAGTGGGGGAGAGGGAGGGAGGCAAACCATGAGAGACTCTTGAATGCTGAGAACAAACTGAGGGCTGATGGGGGTGTGGGGGTGGGGAAGGGGGGTGATGGGCACGAGGGAGGGCACTTGTGGGGATAAGCACTGGGTGTTATATGGAAACCAACTTGACAATAAACTATTAAAAAAAAGAAAAAAGTAAACACAATAAAAAACATTTTTAATTTGTTAATAAAAGGAAAAAGGGGGAGAAATGAGAACTAATCCTACATTTATTTTGGAATGGTCAAATTTTGCCGGAAACCATGTCTTCCAAAGTCTGGTCATCTCAAAATATCAGAATTTCTCAGGGATCCATCATAAATGCAGGATACCAGGATCCCATGTTAGAGCTACAGATCAGAGTATCTGGGAATAGATCCCTAGAGTACACATTTTCAATAAGCAATATTTTTATACAAATAAAGATTTTCAAACATCGGGGGAAAAAAAAGAAGTGTCCCTGGTTTTTCCTTTTTCCCAAAGGTAGCTCGACTTCCCCACAGCACAGATTCATTTTGCTCTCTTCTGAACTTTGTATAAATGGAACAATGCTTGACATTTTCCAGTGGTTTGCAGTTTACAAGGGACCGACACATACATTAACTTGTTAAATCCTCACATCAGTACAGGCAGGTGGGCAGGAATACGGAGGAGAAAACTGAGGCTCAGAGGAGAGAAGGGAATCCCCCACAATCACATTGCTGGATTACTCAAGATAACTGGGTTCCAATTTTGTGTTTTTCTGGATCTCCATTGTCCTTCCCGGCATCAGGCTATACCTCCCAGGGAGATACTTGAGGAATGGCCAGGAATCTGAAACTAGCCCAGGCCTGGGCAGCTGATGGTATGTTACCCAACCTCCAGGATGGAGAGAGTGTCTGGGACAGAGAAGATGTGAGCAAGGCTCAACCCGACCCCTCTCTACCATGCTTCCTGCCTGTGGCACTCAACACGCTTTGTGAATTTTGACAGGTGGTCCTATTCCTTATGTCCTTGTCTTCACCTTAAAGAATTCAGTGTACTGTTGAATGGAAGGGGGGAGATTTATGCCTACAGAGCCCCTCCCTGCCCTCTCGGTTGCCACATGCACTGCCCAGGAACAGATGGCCCCCTATGGATCCTGGCACCGTGCACCTAGACCTTGAGCCTCTTCTGCATGCGCAGAGTCACCCTGAGCCGGCTCCTGTTCCCACCCTCCCTCCCGGCATCCTCTCTCCCAGAATCTACCTGTTCCCAGCCAGCTCAGCTCCCTCACCCCCACTCTCACAGCTGATGGGCAAGAGTCCCCGCGTCTTTCCTTCTCGCCTTATGAACGGCTTATACCTCCTTCAAAGCCCAAACCCCATCTCCTCCAGGAGGGCCTGGTCTCTCCTGAACATACACTCATTATGCCTCTTACACCTTGGTTTCTCTTTCTCAACACAACATGAATACAAGTGATCACAAAGTCACACAAACAAAACACTTTTGCCACACAGACAAGGTTTTTTTCCCAAAAAATTTTAATGTTTATTTACTTTTGCGAGAGAGAGGGAGGAAGACAGAGCACGAGCGGGGGAGACACAGAATCTGAAGCAGGCTCCAGGCTCTGAGCTGTCAGCACAGAGCCCGATGCGGGGCTCGAACCCATGCACTGTGAGATCATGGCCTGATCCAAAGTCAGATGCTTAACTGAGTCGCCCAGGCGCCCCCCACACACAAGGTTTTTATCTGTCTTTCCACAAACTAGGCTACATCCACAGTGTACCAAATCACAGCCAAGCCCCTTGTATGTGTGTGTGTACACATGGACCCACAACACCACAAAACCACAGGGAGTTGGTCTCTGTTTGTAACAGGGACACAAAGTCTCTTTCTACCATATCACATGCGTGTACAACAGGCCCATAAGGCACAGGTCACACAGCACACAGACACACCTTGCCGCTTCTTCCTCCTTCACTCACTCTTTTATACAACACACATGTAGAGTCAGCCTCTTCCCAGGACACACAAAACGGCACAGGCATGGAGAGCCTTCGGTCCTCCTCTCTGCTTCCCTCCCACCTCCTTCTCTCGCCCCGCTCTCTTATGCACACACACACACACACACACACACACACACGAAAGCTTGAAGTAACAAATCCCAAATATAGTCAGGCTCTGCCTTTTGGTCACAAATAAACACACAGGCACGCGGGATCCATGCCTCCCCCGCTTTTTCTCTGTCCTCCTCTTCCCCTCCTCCCTTCTTGCGCGCCCGCGCGCGGACACACACACACACACACACACACACACACACACACACACCACATAAACACGCGCAGCTGCAGCGCCCTGGGTCACACTCCCGAGCAGCCGCCAGGCAGGAGACAAAGGTCGCCGAGGCTCCTGGCGCCGCGCCCCCGCCGCAGCGGAGCCGCTCCCGGGCTCCACCTGCCCCCGAAGCCGGGCTCAGCGAGGTCTCACCCCGCACCCCGCACCCCGCAGGCCGAGGCCCCGCCCGCGCCGGCCACGGGGTCCCCACGCAGCCGCGCTCCCAGCCCGGCGCGCCTGGGGTTAAGGAGGTGGCAGGGGGCGGGGCCGAGGGCAGACTCGGGGCGTGATTGGCTGCGCGGCCCGGCCCCCGCGCCCTGCCATTGGCCGCTCGGCGGGCCCGCCTCCCCGAGTCTAGGCGCCGGAGCCGCGCTCGCCCGCGGGGAGCGGAGCGCGCGGCCGGGGCGAGCCAGCTGCGCCGTGCGAGGAGCGCCGCCGGGAGCCGAGAACCGGGCCCGGGCCCGGGCCGCTGCGCGGTGCAGGAGCGGGGCGCGCGAGCTATGGTGAGTGCCGCGCCCGGCCCCGCCTGGACGGCCCTGGCGGCGGCGCCGCGGTGGGACTCGGCCGGGCTCGCGGGGGGGCTGGGCGCGGGCTGCGGCTCTAGCTCCGGAGGCGAGGAGTCGGGGGGCGCGCGGGCCGGGCGGCGCCGCCTCGGTTCCGTCGGGGGCGGCCGCGCCGAGCTTGCTTCTGGGCCGTGGCCCCAGTCGGGTTTCGAGGGCTCGGGGCGGGGGGTGGGTGGCCGATTCGGTTCGCGGACAGTTGGTGCGGCTGTGGTCTGGGGGGTCCGGAAGTTCTGGCTGGGCGTGGAGACCGTGGGCATTGGGACTGGGTCCGCTCCGGGGGTCGGGGGCGGTCAGGAAGCCGGTGGATGCAGTTGGACCCGAGTGCTCCGGGACGCTGAGCTCGGTCTGGTGCTGAGGCTCGGCTTGGGGCACCGTGGGTGGCCCAGCCCAGCGCGCTCGGAGGGTTCGGTCGAGGGCACGCGGGGACTGTCTATCTCACTGTGGCCTAAGCGAGTGGAGAATGGAGGCAGCAAGATCGGCGGCTGTCAGAGACCAGGGGACGCTTGAGGAGCCTGCATTCAGTGACTGGTCTCCCTAGCATCTCCCAGTCCTCAGAGGAGGGGGGTGCTGAAGCCGTTAGCCAGCGACGCCAAGGAGAGGGGACTTGGCAGGGAGATTTCATGGGGGATTCTGAAGCCCCAGAGAGAAATTCATTTGGTTGAGGCTGGGCTTGTTGGAGCTGTTTTAGGGAGAGGTGTTTTCTCTGGAGGGAAAGCTTGGACCTTTCAGTCACCTCCCTAGAGAGGTGCTCTCCCTAGATCACTTCTGCATCTTGAGGGCGGAGGCCACCTACTTCTCTTTGCTTTCTTTCCCCTGGGCAAGCCCTTCTGATTCTCTCTCCCTGTGCTGTTCTGTGCCCTGTGAAGTGAGTACAAGTCACCACTTAAGGCCTGAGGAGGGCATATGCCCCCGATGGTGGCTGCCACCTCTGTTTCTCCATGATGCTGCTGCCAAGCCTGAAGAGGCCCAGGTGGGGGGCAAGATGGGACCCCTGTAGACAGGAAGAGTCCCCCAGTGATTTCCCAGGACTAATCCCTGCTCTGCTCAGAGCTGGGGTCCCCTTACAACATCCCTGTCCCCTCCCCTCTCTCTCCTCTCCCCATCAGTATCTGCCTCCCCCTCTGCCATCGCTCGTCTGGTCAGAGTCAGGAGTAATGAAATGATGTCTTAGAGACCATCTTGGATCCAGCCTACCCCCTTGGTCAGGAATCTCTCCCCTGGAACGCTCTCCTTGGATGGTGCCAGTGGCCGGGAGCTCACGCCCTACGGCCTGGCCCTTGATTTAAAGTCTTGGCATATGAGCAACAAAAGGGAGTGAGACACTGCGGTCATATCATTTACTCTGCCTCCAGACCCACCCTGACCTGCGTTACTCAGAAAGAGAACTTGCGGGGCGCCCGGGTGGCTTAGTCGGTTAAGCGTCCGACTTTTGCTTAGGTCATGATCTCGCGGTTCGTGGGTTTGAGCCCCGCGTTGGACTCTGTGCTGACTGCCAGCTCAGAGCCTGGAGCCTATTTCAGAGTCTGGGTCTCTCTCTCTCTCCGACCCTCCCCTGCTCATGCTGTCTCTCTCTCTCTCTCTCTCCTAGAAATAAATACAACATTAAAAAAAAAAAAAAGAAAAAGAGAACTTGTTCCTCCTTTGAAACCACCAAAGAAAGAGAGGGCCCCTCACCCATGGAGACACTTTTCCGAGCCTTTCAATCTGACGAACCTCCCTGGTCTTAGCATCAAACAGATACAGGGTCAAAGCCTGGCTCTTCCACTTCCCCACAGGGACTTGGATCAAGTCGAGCCCTCAGCTTTGACTATTAGTTTCCTCATCTGTGAGAAGAAATGAAAGGTCTTGCTTGCAGGGGTGATGTGGGGATTTGGTGAGGTAACCCAGTGACCCTTTCTTGTACAATCTTAAACTCAAATTGGGAAGTTCTGTGTGACATCTGTTTGCCAGTCTGAAAGAAGGAGTACAGTGTGTCATGTTGTGGGGAGAAGGAGGGCACAGTGAGACTTAGAGAATCATTCCTTTGTTCATTGTTCAGTGAAGGTTTATTGAACACTTACTATATGCCCTGAGCTAAGGAAGAATAACTGTCACAAAACTGTTGAAGGGAGCTTCTGCTGGTGTATAAATGTCGGCAAGGATCCTCATGCTAGATGGCATATCTTTGGGAGAGGCAGAGGTTTCATGCCAGGGAGGGCCCCCTCCTGGCTGGAGAGATGAGAGAAAGCTTCACTGACCAAGTTGCATCTGAATTGGAAAGAACATCCAGGTAGAGAAAACTCTGTGAACAGAGGACCAGGGCATGAGAGCACAGGAAATGCTCTTGGAAAGGCCAGAAGGGGGCTTGCCTGGAACCTAAGCATGAGAGAGCCAGGACGGAGGAGAGAAAGTGCTCAAGGGACATTGCTGGGGCTAGATGGCCGAAGGCTTAGGCTGAGGAGTGGATTGTAGACCCGCCGTGTGTGTGTGTGTGTGTGTGTGTGTGTGTGTGTGTGTGTGTGTGTGTGTGGAGGCTGACGTCAGACTTCTTTGGCCCCTGTCATTTGGTTTCCCCCAAACACCAGTCCCTGTGCTCATTCCTGAGGTGGGGGTGATTCCGGGCAGCTAAAGAGTTTATTCCTTGGATCTCCTGCTCCATGAGTTTTAAATAAACCCCACATCCCCTGTGCTCCACTGTAGCCAAGTTTCCCCTGGCCCCCAGGTCCCAAGTGGAACTCTCCTTTGGGGAGTGGGTGGGCTATTTCCTCTTGTCCTGGCTGAATCTCCCCGATGGTCCCCAGCTCCCCACCCAGGGCAGTTCTTAAAGGCCACAAGTGGACCCCTCAGTGCAGGCTTTGCATGAGGGTTCTGAGGAGGCTTTTTATATCCCCTGTCTTCAGTTGTCTCATACTACCCAGCAGCAGGCACAGAGAGGTGAAGGAGATTGCCTAGAGTTACACAGCAAGATAGGGCCAAACAAACTTCCTAAATGTTAGAGGGTTACCAGACAGACAGGTTGGGGGAAAAAGAGACCCCAGTTTGCCGTTGTGGCTCCTTGAGAATGTTCCTTCACATTCCAGTCTAGGGGCTGAGCTTAAAGCCACAGCTGAGGGTTGGGAATCATATTTACTGTAAGTGGCTGAGTTGAGGACAGGGTCCAGTGCCTAGGTTTGAACACTGGGTGTACCGCCAGCTTGCTACATGACCTTGGATCAACTATTTCCCCTCTCTGCACCTCCTTTCCTACCAAGTGGGGCAGATTTGCTTTCTTAGCAGGATTATCATGAGGATACAATGTAGGATACAAATGTAGGAATGCTTAAGAACTTAAGGGAAAGTGTTACTATTTGAAGATGCTATGTGCCCCCCTGAACCCGTCTCTGCTGGCCTCCCGGAGCCCAGTGGTGCCCTTCCCAGTGCAGCCAGCATCCATGCTCATAACCGGATTACTCAGGTTTCCTGACATTGCTAAGATTTTTGGTAAACAGGCATGTTGTTCATTTTTGTTAAAGAATAAATGGATGGTTTCCTAGACAGACTTGGAGAGAACAAACCCCTTCGGGGGGGTGGGGTGAGGACAAGATTTGGGGAGTGAGAGGGCTACAGAGTGATTTCGACAGAAACGTTCAGGCGTTAGCCAAGACAGAACCCTCTGGGCTAAAGTCCACACTTTGATGTCTACAGCCAGGGAGGAACCATCAGCAAATGTTTACGACTTTCTGTGTTTCTGCTCCTTTTTTTTTTTTTTTTTTTTTCCTTTTTTAGTTCACAAGGTAAGCACCCCTCGCATGGTCATTTGTTCATTCACCAAACAAGTCCGCCTGGCACGACACCAGGTGTTGGGCTGCAGTCAGGGTGAAAGAGACTGATAGGTCTCCTGCCACAGTCTGGCAGACAGGCAGGCAGATAAGGAGCAGGAAATGAGAAGCGCAATCACTGTTGCCAAGGAGACACACAGGGTGCTGGAGAGCAGATAGGGGAGCCTCACCTGGGGATCAGACAAGGCTCCTCGAGGATGTGGCCTTAACGTTGTGGCCTAAAGAATGAATGGGGCCGGGGCGCCTAGGTGGCTCAGTCGGTTAAGTGTCCAACTTCGGCTCAGGTCATGATCTCACGGTTCGTAGGTTCGAGCCCCGCGTCGGGCTCTGTGCTGACAGCCAGCTCAGAGCCTGGAGCCTGTTTCAGATTCTGTATCTCCCTCTCTCTCTGACCCTCCCCTGCTTGTACTCTCTCTCTCTCTCTCTCTCAGGAATAAATAAAACATTTTAAAAATTAACAGAACAGTTTAAAAAAAAAAAAAAAAAAGAATGAATGGGACCTGGTGGGGCATTCCAGACAGAGAGGGCCGTAGTGCAAGGTGGGACAGAATGTGGTACGTTCAGGAATTAATTCATCTGGGGCCCCAGAAGGTGATGCTGGGGAGGTGGCTGGGGCAAGTGCATGCAGGTAGGATCTTGCTAAAGGTTTGGGGTCCCATCCGAAGGACAGTGGGAGCCACTGTAGAGTTCAGGGTGAGGGGGGTGACGTGGTCAGGGCTGTGTTTTAAGATGGTCACACAGCTGCTATGGGGCAGGAGGGGTGAGCCGGGGAGCTGGAAAACCAGTTAGGAGGCAGCTGGAGCAGCCCTAGGAGAGATAGTGGTAGTCTAGACACTAGTTACTGCCCCCTCCACCCCACCCACACCCCCATCATGCTGCCCAGAATGGGCGGTGAAGAGAGGAAGGGTCTCTGGCCCCAGAGGTGGCACAAAGCCCCTTTCCCTGTGAACACTGACTGTCCTCCCCTCCTCCTTTCCTGCAGATAACCCGTGAGGCTCCTGGCCTCAGGGAACTTTGATCTAACAGAGGAGAAGAATGAAGTTCCCAAATGGCTCTAAATAAGGTAGAATATGATATTACCCACCTGGGGATACAACTCCAGAGTCACCCTGGCCGTGAGTATGTATCAAGGAAAGCTTCCCA